GGCATGACTTAGACATCCGGAGAAACGGAAAAGTTGGCCCTGAGTGTGAAATTAAATATGACCCTGCTTGAAAAAGTAAAGTATGTAATCACTAAAGTATTGCCCAAGTTATTTTGGTAATTACGATTTCATCTGGTAAAAAACCCAAAAATTCCATTACTTTTAGAACAAATTTTGTTTATGTGCTTTATAAACTTTTGTTCATTTCCTCTGATAGTCCTAAATTAAATTCGTTTAGGAACATGAAACAAAAAAGAATCTACAACATTCTTTCGGTGTGTACTAACTTGTTTGAAAATCATCACAAATCAGATATTATTAAAAATTTTCTTTGTGGTCTCTGAGACCAAATCGAATATTTCATAATTTCATTTGTAACACCCTCTTAAAAATGCTAGGAAATTATATAAAACAGGGTAGGATAAGGATAGGGATAGTGCTTATAATTTGAAATTACCACGTATGTATACCTTTCATAATTTAGAATTTTCTCATTATAATGTTATTTAGTTTGCCACATTTTTTGAAATTTGGCATTCAAAGATTTGCATATTTCTTTTAAATATTTAAGATATGTTTTGGTTTTCCATATATGTCATTTAGTTTTATTTCCTATGCCTTATTGCTTTCAATTTCATTTCCCGACTCTCTAATGAATGTGGGCTCTGGCATTCGGACAGCCTTAAGTGGACCTACAGTAATCTCTCCGAATGAACGATCCAATGGGTTAAGGACAGCTGCCGACTGCGAAATCAGATGAAATCGAACCGCTGACGGCTCACTCGACCGCAGCTGGAAGTGGAATCGGAAATGTGACCTTGAATGCGGCATATACTATATATGTACACATGGACAGGAGCGGCAGGACTCGGATTACGAATGCGCTGCGCGTGACTTCCAGTTAAGTCCTAATTATGTCAGTAACTCATACGAGATTGCAGAGGATTTCTGGGAGGATGGACTCGGGAAGGGGGTCGCTGCGTGCCTGGCACGTTCCCCGCACGGCGGTGACGCAATTTCCAAAAGATTTGCAACCGAAGTCCACAAAGGTGGCCCGCTGTCCTTCGACGCAGGATGTGCCATACGCTATATGCGCTATGTGCTATGTGCTATGTGGTATATGCTGTACGGCGTCGGGGGTTGTTGCGCCACCCATCCAAACCAACTGAAAATATCTGAAAACAACTGCGCCAGCCGGCTCTCGTCACTCACTCGCTGCCCAAAACAGATTTCACACTGAGAAAAAAGCTGAGTTATTTTTTACCAGACTGATGAATAGATAAATTTGGATTGATAATTGTTTGCTTATGATTATCAGTACATTTTAATATAAACTGCATTGAGAAAATTTGATATGCTCACAAACAAATAAATAAAAATAAATACTGGTAAAATGTACCAATACGGATAGTTACGTAACTGGAAAAAAGGTAAACACTTTTAAAAAATTAGGGATCTGTATTTTATTGTTTCTTTTTATTTGTTACTATTTAATAGTGAAACTGCCATAAAATGGTAATTTGTGTATATTTTGTTGCTGACAGAATAACTATTCCGTTGGTCAAGTAAACAATTCGATGGTTTGGTACCATTTGACTTTTATATTGGTACATTTTACCAAAATCGTTATGTTATTACTGGAGTAAAAAACTTACCAAAAATCGTATGAATTTTTAACTTTCGCCTGTTTGAAATATTTTAACATTTTAGTTAAGAAAACATATTTTATATTTGGCAGTCACATAATATATAAACCATGTTGTTGGTAATGGTATTTTATAGTTAAAAAAATAATTTTTTTTTTTATTTAAATATTTTTATTTTTTAATATCAATACGAATATTTTAGCAAGCCCCTTCCTATAGTTAAAATTCTCCCTGTGCAGCTATTATAATGATGCGATTCCAGCGGGCGTCGGTGGGCGATCAACCCCCGTGTGAGCAGGGCCTGGGCTTCACTCATTCATTCATCCATTGTGGCATTCAGTCAGTGAGTCAGTGGGAACCCGGGCAGCCCACTCACCCAGTTATGAGTGTCCTATGCCCTTCGTCCTTTAGTCCTGTCGGCCTGCTTAGCAACAAGCGAAAAATTCCACTTCGTGACATAGGTAAAACGTAGTGGAGTGAAATGGAATAAAATTGGTGGTGCGTCCGATGCTCTGATCCCGAGATGCATCCCCCAAAATCGACAGTGTTTCAACCCCCGATTCGGTGATTCACAGCGGTTGCAAATCCCGTGGAAAATTCCACGCGTCCTTAAATAAGTACACATGTACATAGTAAGTAACCTTCAAATGCGCATATAGGTAAATGGCACTCTAAAGAATTTATGTTTATGTATTTAAATTCATTTTCAAATCTCTTTGTGGCACAAAATTCTATGTTGGTTATGATTTCGGTAATATCATTTAATAGATGGCCAATAAATAAACCATAAAAATGGAATGCAAATTAAATTTCTTGGTTTTTATATCTTTAATATTTGTCTTGTCTATTTGCCTTGTTATATCTAAATGTACTTGATATAGTGTTCAAACCAATCAATGCCCAAGAGAACAAAAATACAAAATTCAAGCCTTATCTCTACTTTAAAAAGTTTTTTTTTTTCATAATAAATAAGAAAGTTTCTGTCCAAAAATAATCCTCTTTTTGGAAACTAAAGCCAACCCCTCAAAGGGCATTAACTCGGAGAAAAGCTTTGAAACTCGGAAGTGATGGACTCAGTGCGAAAGCGATTCACCTGCGAGTGTCCTTCGCATCTCAGACTGATTGCGAAACCAGGACGGTGGCTCCGTCTCCACTCGAGCACTTTCTGTTACCATAATCATCTTAATAATTTCACAACTCATGTCTTTATTACATTTTTCCACTCTTCCCCGCTTTTCGGCACCGCCACCGCAATATAATTTCCCAGCTTTCAGAGGAATTTTTTAATTTCAACAGAGCAAAGTATCTTATGGCAAGAAAGCAGGGACTTGGCACAAAAATAAAATATATGAAAAGAGAAATTGTATCTTCATGCGTGTGCCCCACGACGCATTTTCATTCCCTAAGTAGACGCATTTTATCAAATACTTTCCATCTCGCGTCTTCTTGCCACGTAGTAATTTAACCCCTCAGTGCTTTTCCTTAAAAATTTGGCTGTTATAAAGAAAGAACCCTTCGTATCGCAGCAGGTGACCATCAACCATCAATGGTGAAAGGGCAGCTTAGCTAATTTTGAGGAGGAGCACCAATCAGGCGTAAAGATCGAACCCTGTGCACGGGGCGGTACAAAGTAATATCCCCTAATCCTTGCGAGGCAACAAATCAAGTCCGGGGTAGTCCGTTGGGGGTACACCTTGATTGAAGTATTTTCCCAAAGACCTTTGTAACTACGATGGATCTAAGCCGTCTTGGATTCGGTTCATTCGGCTCTCACTGAAGCAAGGAGAACTTTCATTATGAACGCGCATTAAACACATTTTCCTTTCAGATTTATGAATAGATACAGAAAACCACTTCTTTTGATTGTAAAAGTACAAAAGTTTATTCAAGATATAAATAATTACTAAAATATTACACAGAAAAATGTACCTATATTTATTTTATTTATGGTTAGCTATATAATAAAACTACTTAGGATTTTCCTTTAAGCTACCATACAATAAACTGACCCAAAAGTATTTCAAATATTTTATTACTACGAGAATTTTTAATTGCAATTTCTAATTAATAGGACTAACTTTTGTAAACATATTTGCCTTGTCATGTCTATTTGTGCCTCATGAATTTACATTTTCTGTCTATATATCACTCAATCTATTCTAAAAAACTTGTTGTCGAGCTTGGTAAAGTTTAGATATTCGAATGTTTTACTTCCCCATTCAAAAATAATTTCCAACATATTTTCCCTGTCAAATATATTTGTGTCCTAAGTATTGTAGACAAAAATGGAACGATCTTCCCCCAAAACGATTTTAGGTGCCTGCTGCGCCGGAGGTTTAAATATAGAACGGCCTTCCAACAAAACCAAGAACAGGTTCCGTGGTGCACCCGCACACATGTTTACAGGCCGAACTAATTTTAGGTCCCGTCCGATCCGACGGAAACATTTGAAGGTCTCCATCCTTCATCCAGTGCAGCTGCATGAAATCTTTAATTGGATGGCGTTGAGACCGATTGCCTCAAATTAGAGGCCGTTCACGCAGGGGAAGCCGAAAAGGATTGAATTCCCACGCACCTCCAAGTCCCAAAATCCGGTGGATGAATAAAAATACTCCATGCAGTTGTAGAAAGGGTTTTTCAAAGAGGTGTAGACAACCATAGGACAGTCTTCTTTTGTTAGCATTTGTGAACGATAAGGTGAATTGAAACGTCCTCTATTTTGGATTGAAAACTACATATTCCCTTAAATAAAAAATTTGTTCGTTCTTTTGGTTATTTGATTTTGCTCAATAGTGTTAAAAGTGAAATTTGACAACAAAATTTATAAAAAGTCTAAAGAAATCTTTAACAATAAATAGTACAGGTCATAAAAGGTTTGATTCTCACGACCTCGAACTAAATCATAATAAAATGTTTACAAAAACCAAAAACAGTTATCATTTTTTAAAATGACAAATCCGAATAACAAAACAATACTTTCCTGTCCTATCGAAATCTATTTATAAGCTTCATGATTAGTAAAAGTATACATTGTTTTTGTTTATTACCAATAAACATTTTCAATTAAATTAATATAAATGAAAATTTATATACTCTTGGCCTGTTATATATCAAAAATGTACTTCAAAATAATATTTCAAGGCAATAGAGGTTTTTGGTGATAATGAACCTATTAAATATAAATATGACTCATTCATATTTGATATTGATCTCTGTGAGATCATGATTCAAAATGCTCTTAAATGGATTCCGAAAGGAAAAGGGTAATCCCAGCTTCGCTCATCTAATCCAGTGGTTTTGTTTTGGTGTAGAATTCGTTGAGACTGATTTGCTGAGATGGGAGATAACCCGCCGTGCAAGTGACAACAGCCGCCAGTTTTGGTTAATCTGCCGTTGAGTGAGTAGTGTCGAAATCGATGCATGCGATTGATGTGTCCGCCGGAGGTTCCTCGCCTGCCGCCGCTGCCCGCCCCTCCTCCTACGTGCCCTGCGTGACCTTTGCCCCCGGCCAGAATGAGTCCCGAATGGGTGAGCAGCGGATCGGACCGCTCGTGGCCGAACTCACGGCCCAGCGGCGCCTCTTCTACGGCATCGAGGTGACGGCCAGCAGACCGGACGGCCGACCCACGTGCCTCGACTTCAACTACTTCCTGCCGCTGCTGCCGACCTTCGTGAGCGTCGTCTGGCTGGGTCAGCGGTACTGGGACGTGGAGCCGGTGGGGCGGGTGGAGAGCCTCCAGTTGGCCCAGCACCTGGCCACCCGCATTCCCGTGCTGCCCCACCTGTCCGCCTATCGACTGGACGAGGAGCGACTCGACCAGTTCCTGGCCCTCAACTTCAGCAGTCTCCTGGCCGTTCGGGGGGATCAGGTCCACGAGGGCCAGAGTTTCCGGATTAGTCAGCCCGTGGTCGAGCAATCACGGCGGCAGCGAGCTGGTAAGCTACCTACAATAATTGAAAATGTAGACACAAATAAACTTTTAGCTAAAATTTACCAATATCATAGCTACGTGGTCCCCAACCATTGAAATGTTGAATTATCCAACGAAATAGTTACTCTCCCAATAACAAAATGAACACAACCTATCGTTTTTTATTAGTTTTACTATTTAAAAGTAACCAAAACAACAATGAAATGCACCTCACTATTTTTAAAGTTATGAACCTTTATTACACTTACGTAAATATCCGTATTGGTAACTTTTACCCATACAATTTTATTGTGTGTACCTATTTTTAATAAGAGAACCTTAGGTCAGTAACACAAATTTTATAGATTTTTTTTGTTTATATAATTTACTTATTAACTTACTTAATAAGCCAAATCTTTTTGTTATTTTAATTGGGTTCTTTATTATTAACATTTACAACGCTCTAGAATATCACTGTGGCACGTTACGTTAGCAGTTTTGTAACCGCTTTAATTTTCTAAGTTCTGCTTAGATTTTCATAAGAATATTTATTTTGAATAGTTTATAAAAAAAATAAATAAAAAATATAAATTTAGCTTGAACCGTTTTAATGCGACTTTTAAAAATTTATGTAAAAAAAAATTTATAATTGTTATTAAAGTAAATATCTTAAAGCTTAAAATTAACTAATAGAGAGAAGATATATGTAAATTATTTATAAATGAAAAATTTCCTAACTTGCACATAAAAAGTGAGTTCCCTTTTGACAAAGTTACAGTGAAAATGCTTTATTTTTGTTATATGAGTCAATAAAATAGTCTTAAATTAGCATTCTTTCTTTCTGGACAGAAAAAATTTCAATCTGCGTGCCTGGATACCCGGAGGGATACACTAGCTTGGGCGACAGTCCTCAGAATTCCAGTAGGAACATTGGGTTCTTGAAGGCAAAGGTCCTAATTTGCAGAAAATTAATCCTGACAGACTAACAAAAGCTAAATATTTATTTACCACAGATTGAAGCTGGAGCAGATTGCATTATTACCCAGATATGCTACCGGCCCGAGGTCATAGTTCAGTTTGTGAAGGATTGCCGGGCTGCTGGGATCAGGGTTCCCATTATGGTGGGACTGTTGCCCCACGAATCCCTCCGCACTTACTCTATAATGGAAAAAATAACCGGTGCCCAGCTCCCAATTGAGCTACGCGAGGAACTCGATCAGCTGCAGAGTCCCCAAACGGAGGGTACTAAATCCGACCAGGATATGGTTAGAAAGTTCTTCCATCGCCTGACAGTGCAAATCGTTCGTCATATTCTAGATGCCGATGTGGGCGTTTGGGGCTTTCACTTTTTCACACTTAACCGATTTAAGTCTGTCAAAACTGTGCTGCAAGAACTTCAAGAGCTCCATTTGCTACAGGATCCTAATTAAGATTATAAATAAATACCAAATTACAGTAAAATTTGAAGGTTATGATTGTTTGATCTTCTGTTTATAATCTATATTTATTTTTAAAAAAAGGTTGGGATGTGGAAAACTACGTTTTGGATAGGATAGCACCGGAGGGTGGTGGATTGTTAGGGTTTCTATCATGAAAAAGTGGGCACAACCCCTTTGCTTGACCATTGATAGTCTGCAGTGGAACAAAACCAATGATGTGACTGACATGCCTAATGACCGATGTTCGAGGTCTGCAGCTGGCCAAAGCGGAGTGTGATGAATGGATCTGGAAACCCCTTCCGTCGCATATATGTACATATACGAAATTTTGCAGCACTGGTGCGTCATCAACGTCAGTCAATTTGACAGGCGCTTCAAATCGCAGACCAAGAAATGCGTAGATGTTTGTGGATGCTTCTCATCCGGAATAATAGAACTGTTGCGTCATCGCACCTTCCTTCGGGACTTCCAGACCATCAGAGGGTTGACGCCCCTCCCGTTCCCCCACAAAGACGCATTGAAGGGTCCTTTGACAAAAACAGCATTTGACATTTGTAACTTGCGGTTGATCGGCCAAGGAGAGGGGATAAGTGCCCACTTCCACACATAGAGAAAGAAATGTACAAATATAGCATATATATGCCTCAAGAATATTAAAAAGGCCAAGCTAAAATGATATGTGCCATCATTAATTTAGTAAATAAATCAAATAAAAAGTATTGAGAGTCACGTACATATTCATTAATGCAACAAGAATGGTTGCAGAAAGCATATTTTCAAGTTAATGTTTATTTATAAAATAAAATAAATAAAATTTAAATAATTAAGTTTATTCTTCCAAGAAACAAGTTTAAGCTTAGTTAGTTATAATAATTATTCCCTAAAATCAAAAATAATTTTAGTTCCTCTTTAAAAACAAATGTGAGGGAATGAATAAATATTTTGCATTAAAACTAAAATCCTCCTGGGACAAACATTAAATTACTTTCAATATTTAAGAACCTTCAATTAACTGACTAATTTTTCTGAGTGTACTTCCAAGGGGTTGACTTTCACCACGGCCCCCAGATGACACAGATGGAATCGGGGCTAAAAGGTTTTCGCTGCCACCGCTTCAAATCCGACGCCTGCTTCTTATTTTCGCTTATTTTCGCAGCTGTCGCCCGGCCTGAAAAATGATTTGCGAATGCGAATTCGCTTCCTTTTCTTCCTAGTTTGTTGACGTGGAGGTTGGGGTGGCTCACAACTCCGCTTTGCAATTATTTATCGGCAATTAAGCCAAACAAATGACGCCGTTAGAATGGACAATGCGCACATTGCGCATACGCCATGTCTGTCAGTCAACATAACTCTTCGGATTTTCGGTTTATTTAGACTTTGTGTTTGATTTCAATTCAAAATTTAAAGCTTTAAGTGTGTGAAAGAGTAGAAAGTTAAAAAATATTGTAACGTAAAATCCATTTACGATAAATATTTAAAAAAAAGGTCTTGTGAATTTATTAAAAAGTTTTCTTTCATTTTTATACATTTATGTAAACATCTAGAGCGATAAACATTGCCCTCTTAAATTATTGCTTTTTTAAACTCTTTTTTCCATCTCATTTAAGAAAATTAACTTTTATTTCTATGTGCGTTACTGCCGTAATTGGCGCTTAAAACTGACCCACTGCTTGCGGCAGATACAAATGTATCTGGGGAATACGTTCGAATGGATCGGAGAAATGCAATTTGTGCGGCTCATTTGTTTGCCTTCTCTTGGCCACCTTTTGTTTAGCTGTTTCTTGATTTGCCATGCGTCGTTTAATTTTATTTCAAAACAAATAAGCGTAAAATGGGGAAATCTACGATAAATAAAACCAAACAGCGAGCCTATAAATCGACGTGTGCTTGCAACCAAAGAAAAGCAAAAGATCAGCGGCCAGCAGAGGCAATAAAAAAGTTTGCCAGCGATAAAAACCAGAAAAGTAGTGACCAAGTTGTTCGACTATGAGATACTTCTACTTGATACTTCATACTCACGATTCTTTTCGAAATTTGGTGGTGTGTTTAAAGCTCTTTTATTCCTACCTAAAGTCGAATTTATGGGATTGGTTAGATTTAAAATTTTCAAATGTTCGGTTAGAATTCGTTGTTTACGCTGATACAAAACTATTTGTATCTTTTTGAATCAAACAATATACCGTTCTTAAAAAGTTTAAAAAAGAGGGAGAAAACGTTCACGTTTCTCTGCCGCAGTCGACAGAGGCAGCGGCAGAAGCAGCGATCAGCTGGCAGATCAGAGAAAGAGAACATTTGTTCTCATTTATTCACAGCTGTTCTCTATCTCTTTACCTCTCTCTCTCATTCTAACTTTACAAAAATATTTTGATATTAAAAACTCAAGAGCAACCCAAAAACTTAAAGAGAAAACTGAGTGCGAAAAGATCAAGAGATCACCAAAATGAGTGAAAAAAGGTAGCATGCAAAAGAGAATTATAATAAGAAATACTCAAGAGCAAAGAGCAAACAGCGTAAATTTGTTACAAACTAACCTTACACCTTAGGTACATTTAACGATTATATTCCCGGTTAGTCTGACTATAATTTTTTCTTAGAATGTATTTAGTTCTTTGCCTCCAAAGAATAAGATTTTGAAAACGCATGATTTCTCTTGAGTGATCTCATGATCGAGCACAAGAGAAAACCATAAGAAACAGCGATAAACTCAACTCAATTTCCCTTAAAAATAGCATGGAAGATCACTTAAGAGAAAATTAAAAAGAGTGAAAATCGTGAACATTAAGCTCTTAAGTACTCCTAAGTGAAAAACTAATGCACATTATTACTGAGTATTATAAGGATAAAAACTCTTTTTTATATACAGCTGCGGCAAAAATAATAGCACCATGACATAAGCTTGGCTTTAAATCGAAATTTTATTAAGAATAATGGCTTAAGCGAGTGGGTAACCACTTATTTTATTACTATAACATATTACTTATGAAATTGAAGGCAATTGTATGCATTTGATACTTTACTCGAAAGTATTTCACAAAAATACGAAATTTTAAGGAAATTTGGTCGGCAACAAAAATAGCACCAAAATTGAAAAATGAGTGAAAAACTTAAAAATACAACAATATCAAAAAAAAAATTATCCAGAAATATGCGTGATAGTGTCCTTAAAAATTAATATTTTGTTGTGAAGCCTTTAGCTGCAAGGACAGCAGCACATCGTCTTGGCATGGAGTCCACCAGACCCTGACATCTTTCCTTGGGTATATTTTTCCACGACACCTGCACAGTGGCCCAGAGGTCCATATTATTTTTGGGCTTTGCCTTAGAAACATCTTTTTTAACGTCACTCCAAAGATTTTCTATCGGGTTCAAGTCTGGCGACTGTGCCGGCCACTCCAAGACGTTGACACGGTTGGTCTCAAACCAGGATCGAGCTTTCCTGCTCGTATGCTTTGGGTCATTATCCTGTTGGAAGACCCAAAGCAAAGGCATTTTGTACTCCGCGTATGGTAGCATAACTGTTTCCAATATATCGACGTAGACATTTTGATCCATGATAGGTCTTATCCAATGTATTGGGCCGACTCCGTAATACGAAAAGCAACCCCACACCATGATGCTGGACCCTCCATGTTTAATTGTTTTGCAAGTGAAGCGGGGGTTATATTCTGTATTGGGAGGTCGTCTAACGTAAGACCGAGACCCTTTTCCACCAAATAAAACAATCTTGCTCTCATCAGACCACAATATGTTCCGCCACTTTTCTTGGGACCAATTTACGTACTGATTTGCAAACTTAATTCTTTTTGCGATGTTCTTTTTAGTCAATAACGGTACTTTTCTTGGACTGCGTGCGTATAATTTGTTGTCACGTAAACAGGATCTAACAGTTGTAATAGCTGCTGATATGTTTAGATCCTTTTTAAGCTCGCTAGCCGGCTTAAAAGGGTCCTTCTTACTTTCGCGCACCAGGCGCGTTACCATTTTTGGTGTCATTGCAAGTTTTCTCCCGCGTGTTTCTGGTTTGGTATCATATTTTAGGGCATTACAAATCATTTTGTTAGAGCAACCGATGATTCGCCCAACCTGGGCATAGGTATTGCCTTCGAAAATGAGCTTTTTGAGTGTTTTTCGTGTTTCCACAGAACAATGCTTCGCACGACCCATAACTACCGAAATTTGCGACTCACTTTAGCAAATCAATTAAATGCACTGATATCAAATGCATCTAAGAAGAAAAAACTCCATAAAGTTTCGAACAAGTAAAGCTTTCGTAGAAGAACTGTTAATAGTGCTATTTTTGTTGCCGCTCTATTTTGACTCTCTCTCCATACAAATTCGAATGTAATAAAAACCGTTCGCATTGTAACAGTTATCAGTGTTATTTTAGTAAGTACATGTATTTCACTAATTATTACCAAAAACAGAATGGAAATATTGCAAGAAATGGCCATTTTATATCACAATTAAGAACTACCCACGCAATGGTGCTATTTTTGTTGCCGCAACTGTAAAAATTAAATAACAAAATGAATTTTAAATAAATGTATAACTATTAAATACTGCTATCCAATTGTTTATATTTTGTTTTTATGCCACTTAATAAATTAATTGAATAGTGCATTGAATGCTTATTTATCCTTTTTGTGAGTTCAAATTTAAAAAAAGGATATGTACTTATGTAAATTAAAATTGTACATATTTCCTTAATAAATATAAACAATTAAATAAATAGTCACATAAGTGACATTTATTTCAGTGTATCGCAGCCATATTCTTAAATGGTTTTGTAAGAATAAAGAAATGCTTCTGCTGCAGCAGCAACATTGCTAATTTGCGACCTGCCCCACCGCAATTTGCATACACCGCTTGCGCACTAAATTCGCATTCGTAGATACAGATACAGATACATTTGCAGATACACGAACTGAACGCATGCAAAGGCGAAATTGGCAAGAAGCTCATGCGAAATTTACGACAATTGTAACAATTTTTTAATTAAATTGTAGCAAGACCAA